ATTGCCAGTTTTTCTCTCACAGAGCTGCCGACCTTTTGGCTTATAGTCCATCCTGTTAATGTCACCAGAGTTGCCATATGTATATCTCAAAATATTCCTCTCTCCCTTGCATTCATTTGGTAGCTCAGTAAAAACAAAACAAAAGTAGAGTTGCGTGTAGGGCTAAATATAATGGCCAAGTTTTGTGCAGAGTTGTTCTGAGTCTGTAAATGAATATGCAGGTATTAAAATAAGGTTTGTGTTGGCTAAGTTTTTTTAGTTTGTTTTGCAGTACATTAGTATATATAGCTAGTTTCAATATTGCTGGAATCATAGTGAAATGGGACTTACTCCGTAAAATGAACATTGGAAGGGGGTTTTTTTTCTGACTGAAGTCCTCAGCATTGTTATTAGTTAATAGATTTTTACTGGATGATTATTTTATACTTTTATATAAATATAAATTATAAATATAAATATGTGTCTGGGCTGTAGCCTGTCTCCATACCTATTTGGTCTATATATTGAGTAGATTATTTGAGAAGTTAGCCTATTTTAAGAAGAATGTGGCATCAGAATCTGAGGAAGACTCCTCAAACCTATGTTATGCAAATGACACAGCCTTGCTTGCTAAAAGTGAAGATGACTTGAAACACTTGTTGCAGAAGATCAAAGATGACAGCTTCTAAATACATTACATCTCAACATCAAGAAAACAAAAATACCACCAGATCAATAGACATCATGATAGATGAGGAAAAGATAACATTGTTAGTGATTTCTGCTGTCGCAGCACTCTCCAGAATGTTAAAGTGCAATGAATGATGTCAGTTTCAAGACCAAGATGTGCATGATTCGAGCCAGAGCTTTTCCAATTGACTTCTTGTGTTTCTGAAAGTTGGATAAAGAATAAAGATAAGAAACATCAATACCTTTGAATTGTGTTGGAGAATAATACAGACTATCCCATGGACAAATAACTGTGTCTTGGAAAAAGTGCTGCCAGGGTGTTCTTAGAGGCAAGGATGAAGAAACTTTCTCATACACTCAGTCTGTTGGACATGTTAATGGGAGGGATGCTGGGGAAAAAGGTCATAATGCTGGGCTAGGTGGAGGGTCAATGAAAAAAGAGGACAACTCTCAACAAGACAGACTGACACTGTGACTGTTAACAGTGGATTCAAGTATATTAGATGATGTAGGCACATCCAGATGGGGCTAAGTTCACATCTGTTGTTCATAGGGTAACTATGGGTCATAGTGGGCATGAGGGCACCTAATGACAGCAACATACATTTATAGTAAAGCAAATATGTTGTTATGTGCCGTCGAGTCGCCTGCGACTCATAGCGAACCTATGTACAACAGCCCTAAACTCCGCTCTGTCCTGTGCCAATCGCACTGTCTTTGACACTCCCATCCCAATTATCCCAGTCACTGAATCAATCTACCTCATAGAGGGCCTTCCTCTCCTGCGCTGTCCCTCCACCCTCCCAAGCATGATGTCCCTCTCCAAGGACCAGTCTCTCCTCACAACATGTCCAAAGTATGTTAGACGGAGCCTCAGAATCCTTGCCTCCAAGGAGCCACCCGGTTTAACCCTTTCCAGGACAATCTGGTTGTTTTCCTAGAAGTCCATGGTATTCTCAATACTCTTCTCCAGCACCATAGCTCAAAGGCATCATTTCTCTCAAAGGCATCACCTTTGACAGGGAAACATTACTACTAAACTTCAGAGACACTGATCCCAACATAAAGAACTACCATCAGCTGATGTGTTTGAAATCACAGAAGCCATGGAAGCTTCATATATAAGTTATTAGATGGAGGGCTGGTGAAAGGGAGATAGGTGTGAAGGGAGGGGGTAGAAGTGGATGGGTATCCTGCTGGATGGTGAAGCAGAAAATAAGTGGGTAAGGACGCGTGTGAGAAAGGCAGGGACAACACTGACACTAAAGTTAACTCCGCACTAAAGGATATACCTTTAACTTGCTGGTCTATCTGATACTTCTCTAAATCTGAACATTCACATTGAAACAGACTAGGAAAAAGGATTGGCCATCCACTTCTGAAATAGCAGGCCTCTGAAAACCCTATGTGCAAAGCAAATATATAAGGCAAAAAAATTTCAACTCATAGCAGTCTTGTATGACAGTAGAACCGCTTTATAGGGTTTCTAGAACTGTTAAGGTGTATGACAGCAGCCTGCTACATCTTAGTGGCTGAAACGTATGAACTGCCGGCCTTTCAGTTGGTAGTTGAATGCTTAGCCTCTGTGCCATCAAATCTTTGAGGATATCTGTAATTTCAAACTTAATTGCTGTCAAGTTAGAACCAACTTATTGCCAATGCTCCAGTGGATTTCTGAGGCTGTAAGTCACATGAAAGGAAATTACTCTCCTTTCTCACTTGGAGCTGTGGCTGAATTAGAACTACTACCAAGGGTGTTGTCTTTGGTTTAGCAGTGCATCTCCTTTCAGACCATGCCATCAGACCTCCCAAATGTTTATAGTCTCTTCATAATTGCTCCACCAATAGCTTTTTCCAATAGGATTAGCATTTTAATGAGAAATAAATTTTTAAAAATGTTGTTTGGGTGAGCTGGTGGCCTAGTGGCAAGAAGCTGCACTGCAATTCCGGAGGTGTGCTGTTTGAATCCACCAGATGTTCTGCTGGAGAAGGAGGAACAATCTCCTCCTGTACCAGTCAGATCTGATTTGACAGTACACACACAAAAAATATTTAAAAAAAAAAAAAAAATGTAATTCGGTGCTTAGAATTTGATCCTGGAATAGAAAAAGCTAATTAAATCTGTAGTTACTATAAACAATAAGAAACGTACATGATGATGATTTTTATAAAGGTAAAAAGTTGGAGAGGAAAAGGATCACTTTAGAATAGTTGTTGTGTATTGTTGGAGTGCATAGCTACTTTCCAGTGGGTTTTCTGAGGCAGTAAATTGCATAGGCGGCAAAAGCCCATCTTTCTCCTGTGAAGATGGCAACGCCATTCCTTATCACTAGGCCACCAGAGTATATAGTAACATATATAGTAATATATATTATTATGTCAATGTCAATTACTATTTGACAAATACAGCACGGTTATGTGTGATATAGACTAGAGGCTTAGAAGTATCAGCATTTTAACTTTCTCTACATGGTTGTTGTGATGCCTTTACTTACTGATTTGAGAGAATATATGACAAATGACTTACTGCTCTGAAAGGTAAAGAGTTGTTTCATTAATTACATTGTTTTTCATCTTTACTTTTGTTACTTTTATAACTTGAAATACTGTGTTTAAATTTTAGTATTTTCTATGAACTTTGACACATTCTGTTGACTCTCCACTGGATATAAAATGTCAAGAAATTCTGCAGCCTTGCATTACTATTTACCTCCTTTCTACACTTTGCCACCCCATTTATGTTAGTCCCATTACTTCTCTGTCATTTTATTTTGCCCTGCCTTGTCCAGACATAATCCAAGATGGTTTATATGTTACATAATAAAGAGCCCTTGTGCTTTAGTGCACCACATGTTAGACTGCTAACTAAAAAGGTCAGCAATTCACATCCACTAGCCACTCTGGGAGAAAGATGGACAATCTCCTCTTGTAAAGATTATAGCTTCAGAAATCCAGTGGAGGATCACTGTGAGTTGGAGTTGACAGTAGTTTGGATGACATGTCCTTGAGATTTAGGGTTGATTAATGGTTTTTATTCTATGTATTTGTAGTATTAAAGAGATAGATAAAATAAGAAGTTTTGAGTTGGTTAATGGTCATGTGTAGTGTGCTGGTGGCTTAGGGCCTCTTGGCAGCTGGCTGAAAGGTTAGCAGTTCAAATCCACCAGCTGCTGTGTGAGAGAAAGATATAGCAGTCTGGTCCCATACAGATTACAGGTTTGGAAATACTATAGCACAGTTCTCCTTTATCCTTCGAGGGTTACTATGAGTTGGAATGTATTTGATGAGAGTGTATTATTAGTCATACATTAAAAAAAAAATAATACTTAAAACCTTTTAGATAAATTCTTCAATATAAAGAGAACAAATGAGAAATGTAGATGTCTCCCCTGCCGCCATAATGTCTACTTTTTGCTCACTTTGATGCGTCTGTCTTCTTGGGTATGTTGTTTGGTTTTTGGTTTGGGTGGTTTTTTTTGCCCCCCAGCCTACTTACCCAGCCACTATAACTCAAAAATCCTTTACTGCTGTTGAGTTCATTCAGAATCTTAGTGTCATTTTATTGGATATCAGAGGCTGTAAGTCATAAAAGAAGGGGACTACCTGTCTTTTTCTCCCAGTGAGTGGTTGATGATGGATTTGAACCTTACGAGTTACATAGCCTGTGGCTTAGTAGCACAACTTGTGATGGACTGTGTGCCACAGCTTGCATTACAAGCTTCCCTCTTACATATCCTCGGTTTTAGGATGCCCTCAATTTTGAGGCTCATTATTGCTTTAATAGAACTCACAGTGGGAGGAGTTTCTACATTAAATGATGCATTGATGATAAGATGCAGGCCACTTTCAGAAGTAATAAAATGAGCATATTATTTCCATTTAATTTCTTAGGTTTGCAGGAAAAAAAGAACATAAATAAGTCATTGTTAATTGTCCTATTCATGGACCCTTGGCCGGGGGAGCTGCCAAAGGAAACTATTTTTCTCAATTAAATGAGTTCATACTATTTTGATAATTTACCCTTTTCACTAAATCCACTCGCTCACCTCACTTTTACTCATGTCTGTGACTATTTATGTTTGGCCATGCCTAATTTACTTAACTAGTTTCTCTGTTTATACTTTTTCTGTTATAAAAAGTACTGTTTCTTAGAGCTAAACCATATCCCTGATTTTTCTTTCATATGGTTTAATACGGTTGCTAGATTAAAAAAAAATTAATTTCCACTCTTTTGTGATATAACTTCTTAATAAAGAAAAGTTAAAACTTACTATTTGGTCATTAATCATTTCTAAAATATAACCTTTTGTTTTATTTTGTTTTTAAATTAGTGAACACTTGTCCTGCTCTTTCACCTTTTTCTTGCACGGAGACAGCAATGTTTGTACCAGTGTGGAAATTAACCAACATCAACCTGTGTACCTTCTTAGTGAAGAGCATATTACTCTTGCTCAACAGTCTACTAGCCCATTTCAAGGTAGATTGTTTTATTAACTTTGGTATTTTTTTATTATTTTGTTGTTTTAAGAAGATCTTTATTGGAATTGGTCACTTAACATTTTGAAATTGCTAATATTTTCCTCTAATCATTAACCTAATGATAATTTTTATACCATTTACTTCTCTCTGAAAAGTTAGTTAAGAGAATTAAGTGAAAAATTTTTAATACAAGTGTTTAAAAAGCATTTGGAGATTATTGGTAATGTTATAAAGAGGGTTTTTAAAAAATTATTTTATTTTAATACTATATGTTATTGCTGCTGGTGCTGTTGAGTACAAACCATAGCAGCCCTGTGAACAACAAATCTGAACCATGTCCTGTCCTAACATATAAGTGATTCTGTTTGCATGGTTTTCTTGTTTATTAGATAATAACTTTTAACATTGGAATATAGGAACTTTGGACCTCTTTCATTCTTTGTAAATGGTTGAACTCTAGAGTGAATATTTTAAAAGTTAACTGTTGCTTTGTTTTTAAGTATTGACAGTATGGTTTTTTTAATTTTTTTTTATTAAATTTTATTAGTTTTAATGAACATTTACAGAGATTTTGGGTTTTCATTCATTCATTGTTGCATGACAGTATGTTTTAATTTAAGAATATAAGTGCTCAGGTTTTTATATGCATATTGTTTCTCCTCAAATTATTTTTCGTTACTGAAAATCGAGGAACTAAAGGTTACCTAATATTTCCAGTTCATGTTGAAATTCTAGTTATCTGAGTTTTTATGGGGTAGACAAAATTTTACCTATTATTATATAAAGTTGTATAATTACTTGCCAAACTATTCTGTGTGGTCTTAATTGGTACAGCATTATTTACCTTGTATCTGTTTTGGATTTCTAGTTATCTTAAGCCCATTTGGACTAAATGGCACTCTCACAGGACAGGCATTCAAGATGTCTGATTCAGCTACCAAAAAATTGATTAGTGAATGGAAGCAGTTCTATCCTATTTCATCTTGCTTGAAGGAGATGTCTGAAGAAAAACAGGAAGATATGGATTGGGAGGATGATTCGTTAGCTGCAGTAGAAGTTCTTGTTGGTATGGATTCTGATTACTATTAAACTTAAAGGAGGAAATCACATGACTGTATGAATAGGATTCTAGCTACTTTTTCAATATAGGGAGCTCTGCGGACCTAGTGGTAAGAAGTTGTGATGCAGTCCCAAAGACGTGGTTCAAATCCACTAGCTGCTCTGTGGAAGGATGATCAGTCTCCTCCCATGCAGTTTACTGTTTCTGAAAACTTGCTGGAGGCTCAACTATGGATCAGTTCTGATTCTATGGCACACAGCTGCTGGCTTGAATCGTATCACCCCTAAATTGAAATTCTCGTTCATCTCAAAGTACAAGCATCTCTAGCAAAGCAGCATTAATTTATATAGGGGAAAATTTTGTCCCTAAACTAAAAAAAGTAACTTACCAAATAACACAGACATTTTACATGTAACATATATTACTGAGACACAAGTCAAAGCTGTGGTTGCTTACAACATTACTTTTGCTTTTTGGAATATGGTACAGCTTTTTTTAACTCCTGCTACAAAACAAACCCACTGACACTATTTTCACAAAAGCGAAACTCCTCTTCACATAGATGAACTGCTAAATGTAGGTCTTTTGTAAAAGTGAAGTGGTGTAAAGCAGACTTTCTAAAAATGAGGGATATCTATGTTCATTTCCTAAATAGCATCTTAGATGCCTCAGTGGCTTTCAACGTCAAAGACTTATTTTTTATTCTCAGTTCACATTATTGTAACTTGATTGTGGTTTGATTTCTATATATTTTCTCATTTTGCAAAGTGGTTAAAGGAATATCCACTTTCTGTCCTTACAGTTTAATAATAAAGGAATGATGAAGATCAAACCTTGCCATGCAGATACTTAAATCTTCTGTTGGAATGTTGTTCTGTGTCACATCTGTGCATATGTGAACATTAACAGGACCAAACCCAGAATCATTGATGTGGGAAAATTCATCCCACCAAAGTAATGGAAGGAAGTAATAGGCAATAAATTATATTGGAAGACTGAAAAGTTCAAAACCTGTGTTGAACATCATGTTATCTTTTGGTAAAACTGTTACTTCTGACAACATGAAAAGGCAGATTGTGCACCTAAAGATCTTAAAACTTTTGTCTACTCTGCCCTGGTTATGTGTATTTAGATTGCTGTGTTTTATGTGTCTTCTTATTCATGCAGTCAGTTACCTATACCTAGGATACGGATGTCATGGGAGTGCAAAAGAAAAAGATGTTGCACTGACTATGAAGTCCCTGCCTCATGCAAATTGCATAGCCAAATCTGATAATGTAATGACAACATATAGATCACCTTAGAAATAGGGAACGTGTAATTAAGTGGTGATGTTATGTATGAAGGTGGCTTTAAAAAAAAATTACTGGGGCTCATTTTCAGTAAACGTTACTTGCAGAACAGTTTTGACAAAAACAAAACACAAATATAGACTTTTAAAAATTGAGACACATAAAATCTAAAATGATCATCCTTAATTCTAGTGCCTTAGACTTCCTTTGTTAAGCTTTAATATAACTTTATAAAAACAGTACACCGACATAGATAGGAAATCCAGAAAAGGAAAAAATGTGCTTTCTTTTAAGTGTCTCTCACCAAAGCTGACTATTGCTATTAGATTCTTGTAGAAAGGCCTTATAGTAAAAGAACATATATTTGTAGAAGTTTTTATTTATGCAATGTGATCATAATATATTTACTTTTTTGGTAATAGTGTGTTTTGCCTGAAACTTCTTGTCCACAATAAAGCAGTCATTTCTTTTCTTGTCTTTAATTTTTTTCCTTTCAGCTGGTGTCCGGATGATATACCCAGCCTGCTTTGTTCTAGTCCCTCAGTCAGACATTCCTACTCCTAGCTCTGTGGGATCCTCTCATTGTTCTGCTTCTTGCTTGGGTGTCCACCAAGTGCCTGTTTCCACAAGAGATCCTGCTATATCTTCAGTTACTCTTACACCACCTACATCTCCTGAGGAAGTTCAGACAGGTATTATTCTGATTTGGCTTAGTGGTAAGGAGTTGTGCTGCCAGCCCAAAGGCTCATGGTTCAAATCCAGTAGCTACTCCATGGGATAAAGTTCATTTAACTGCCTTTGGAGCATCAGCTACAGAGTCACTTCTGACTTGCTTGTATACAACTACAACATTTCATCAGCTCGAATGTTGAGTCTATTATTTTGAGTACAGTAAGCATTTGAAAAGTAATTTATTTTTAAATTTAAGACTTTTAAAACTTTCTCAAGTATGAAACAGAAGGCGCCCTTATCTAAATTCCATAACTGTTAACATTTGCCCTTTTTGTATTATTAGTCTCTCTCTGCATATTATTCTCTAAGGACTCAGAGTATTTGTGAAAAATTAATGACACTCTCCTGGGTAACTCTCATACAGAAGAATCCTGGGTAAGGAGGACTGTATGATAGTTATCTAGGAGATAGCTTTAAGTTCAGCATTAATATCCAGTTGATATACTCCATTCAAATTTATATTTTCTGTGTTTAAAGTGCCATACTTTTTGCTTTGAATTTAAGTAACTTTATCTAGGTATCTGGATCAAGTTATATAATAAATTAATTAACAATACAAAAACATAATTTTGTTTAAACTTGCCTCTTTTCTACTACAACCACTTTTGTTTTTGTGTGTTTAGTTGATCCTCAGTCTGCCCAGAAGTGGGTCAAATTTTCTTCAGTATCTGATGGCTTCAACTCTGATAGTACTAGCCACCATGGTGGAAAAATACCAAGAAAATTAGCAAACCATGTGGTGGATAGAGTTTGGCAAGAATGCAATATGAATAGAGCACAAAACAAGTATGTATTTTCATTTTTCAAATTTAAAAATTTCATCTTCATTTTTGCTTATAATTAGATATTTGAAGTATAAAAAGTCACTTGTGTAATTTTAAATTTAAAAATTGATACTGAAAACCCAATTATTAATATTTAACTCCAAATTGCTTGTAGAAAATTTTATAGATTCTAAAGAATTTGTCATTTTAAATCTTAGGAGGAAGTATTCAGCTTCATCTGGTGGTCTGTGTGAAGAAGAGATAGCAAAAAAAGTAGCATCCTGGGATTTTGTTGAATCCACACAAAGAACAAATTGCAGTTGTTCAAGGTACATTTTCTTTTTAATTTAATGATATCTGTACTTTAATAAGTTTTTATACCCCTGAATATTTACACTTTGCTTTGTAAACACACAAATTGGGATTCCCCCCCCCACCAAGGTGTGTTAGAGAAAGAAAGTTCATTAGTTTGAAGTCACTCTCTCCCTTCCAAGACCATGTACTTAGAAATATGCACACTTTTTTGGTTGATATGTATATGTTTATGCATACATATAAAAATACTCAGACTTTTTTTTTAAGAAAATACAAAGCCTTTTCTAAGTATTGGGAATTTGATATGTTTTCAGGAGTAATATATGAATCGTTTACATGCCAGGAAATGGATTTTCTCAAAGTCCATTACCAGCAGTTGGCATGCCAAGTGATACTTGGAACAGAGCATTAACTGTACACCTTATTGACAGAGAGGTGAATAACTTTGAAATAAAGTTTTAGAGAAATATTTTTTTAAAAAAAAAAAGAAAAACCCCAAATACCATAGGCTAGATCTGCAAATAGTTAATAAGGAAAACTCTAAAGTACACGTCAGTGTTCTGAAAAAGGGGGATTGTCAAATCTAATTCAAAGATGTGTGAATGATAACTGGTCATATGTTGGATGGGAAAACATTTTTTATATATTGCATATATAATGTTATATATAAATACATAATACTTTTATGGAATTATTTATTAATATTTTCAAACATTGTATTCCAGGAGCTGTATTAAATTTGGGTTACATTAGTAGTAAATGAGACTATTATACATCTTGAACTCTGCTGGGTGTGAGGCAGATAATTTAAAAAGAAAGCTAATTTAGTAGTAGTAAGTGCTAGGAAGACAGAGCTATGTGACTGGTAAAATACAAGACAGAATAATAGGAGACCCCAACAAATTGACTGCAACTCACAGTGACCCTGTGAGTAGCTCATCAGAATCTTTGTTGTGCTCAAGCTTATTGTTGCAGTTACTGTTCAGTCCAACATGTGAGGCCCTTCTTCTCCTTCACTGCCTTCTCTAGCATGATGTTTTCCAAAGAATTAACCCCTCCTGACAAAATGCCCAAAGTATTTGAGACAAAATTTTATCATTGCTGCCAGGGCACACCCTGATTACATTCTCTCCAAGAGATTTCTTTGTTCTTTTGGCAGTCCATGGCATTTTTTACATGTATGTATGTGCTGGTATTTCTTGTGTTGCCACCAATCTGAGAACTGATTGTGTATATTTGTATAAGAAAGCAAAATTATTTTAATCTGAATTTTTTTTCCAGTTACTGTTGATATTGATGGACACTTTACTCTGGTGGGAGTCCATACAGGGAATTGTGCTGCTAACCTAAAGGTGGCTCCTTTGGTGGTCCAGCTCTAACAGTAAGCTCTGAGGTAGAAAGATGGACAGACTCCTCTCATAAAACTTACAGCCTCTGAAAACCTTCTGGAGGGTCAGCTGTTAGTTGGTTCTGACTGGATGGCAGTGAGTTTAAGTTTGTTGTGGGTGCTTTTTGGTTTTGTTTTACTTTCTTTAGTAATACTGAGTAGTGCACACATACTAATAGTAGACGTTACCTGTGGTAGAATTTTCATAAGGAAATTAGTACTTAGAAGATTAATAAAAAGCAGTATGTTATATTCCAAATGTTGACACTAAGGAATTATATAGTGTGTGTGTGTGTGTGTGTGTGTGTGTGTGTGTGTGTGTGTGTGTATACACACGGTTAATAGGAAAAGACTCTGAAGAGATCACTCCATTGAATTGTTCTTTAAGACAGCTTCTCAGAAGATCCTTCAGTTTGGTTGAGTTCTAATATGAAATTCATGTGCTGTAGGGTTTCATTTCACCCTGTAAAGGAATGTACGTTTACAAAATCTATAAAGTAAAAATTACAATGATTTTTAAATTACTAAAAAATTTAGAAAGCTTTTATTCATATATACCCTCTGTTGTTGAGTAGATTCCGACTTACGATGACTTTCCATCAAGTTTCTGTGACTGTAAATGTTTAATGGGAGGAGACTACCTATTTTTGTTCTTTGGAGTGGCTGGCATCACAGGCCTATGTTAGCAGCCCGACTCTAAACACTCTATGCCACCTTTGCTTCTCCTACTAGTATAAAAGTATAGCTCCAGTGAATAATTTCTTCTAGCTAGATAGTGAATATATGGATTTTCACTTTTACACATCTATATATTTTTAATATACCCAAATATTTCACCTTAAGAGAATAGATATGCTGTCCTGCTTTAACAAAAAAACCCCACAAATCAACCACCATTGAGTTTTTGCTTAGTGACCCTGAAGAACAAAATAAAATGCCACGTAAGAGAGTAGCTTGTGGATTAAAATTTCAGTTTTTATGGTTAGAGACCAAGTACTTTAACTGCTGCATAACCAGGGCTCCTTACTTGCATGTGTTAGTGACATTGCATTTCTGACTCAGTGCCCCTTTGTGCACAATAGGCGGAAACACTGCCTGGTCCTGTATTATCTTCACAATTGCTGCTGTGCTTAAGTTCATTGTTAAAGCCACTGTGTCAGTCCATCTCACTGAAGGTCTGTCTTTCTTTTCCCTAACCCTTTGCTTTACTACACATGTTATATTTCCCTAGGGACTTGACACTTCTTGATAACATGCCCAAAATATACGAGCATAATATCAGGAGAGATCAATCAAGTCACTATCCTCATATCTATGGAACATTCTGGCTGCATTTTTAAGACAGATTTGTTTGGGGTTTTTTTGGAAGTCCTTGTTCAGTATTTTTCAGTAACAACACAAGTCAAAGAGATCAGCTTGTCTTTGGTCTTTATTTTCTGTCTTTCAAATGCATATAATGAGATGGAGCTAGGAGTAAATAATTAAATCCTCACATTGACTTCTTTGCTGTAGTAGACAATTTTCAAACTTACTATTCACGTCATATTATTTTACTAATTTATTAGCTTAAAGTTTATTCTTTATATGATTATGAATTTAGACATCACATAATGTGTGGTTTTTGTTTTTTTTTTTTAAAGTCTGCTTGAAAAATCTGATATGCTGAGTTTCTGCTGACCTCAGTGGAGTCTTGGCTAGTTAGCCTAGCTAGAGGTTGTATCTTTGCCAGGCCAGGGGATAGGTGCAGATAGTATCTAGTCGGAGATGGCTAGGAAAAAGATAATCCTTGCTAATCTCACATATCTAACTGTGGAAAGACGTGGCTGAGGAGTGTGTTGCCCACTAAGAGGGAAGGCACCAGTCAGAGGAGCTGCCCACACTAATCTGGGGATAGATTGCAGGCCAGATGTGGCATAGTCAACTGGCTCTGGGGAAAAACCCTAAGCACTTTCTGCTCACAAGATGATGGGCTCGGACTGAGCTGTTGTGGATGGTGCTGCTTCTGCTGATGTCTTCCCGAGTTCCCAGGCCATCTAGACAGGTGTTAAAGATGGCCATATTGCACTGTTTATGGTTCTGTGGCACTCATTCAATTTGTTTAATTTGGTTTCTTCAGTCAGTGTATGAAGTACTTGTCTTTTTCCTTTTTAAAAAGGTGGTTTGGAGAATGATTGTCCTCTGTTCTGTTTGTTTTCTGATGATATACTTTGTTTTCTGGTCTACCATTTTGAGAGATTTTTGGACTAAAAAGTAGGACTTGCCATCATTACCCATTTCTGGAATAACGGATCTTCAAAAAGTTTTTGAGCAATGGAAGAATATTGTTACAGTATTGGAATATCAGCCCCTTCAGTAGCAACTGTAAACATTCAGTAATAATTGAAACATAGAATGTAGAAAATATGAACCTTGTCAGAAATGAAATGGAATGCATAAAGATTGATAACCTTGGTATTTAGTGAGCAGACAAACTGGCATTGGCCCTTTTGAATCAGAGTCATGCGATCTATTATGCCAGGAGAGATAAAGAGAATTGATGCTCCTATTCACAGTAAAAATGAGTATTTCAGGCTCTTCACTAAAGTACAGTGCAGTGGATGAAAACCTGTGATATTCTACACATATGAGGAAAACTTGTTAATACAGCTATTATTCAAATATATGCATGCATCAACCACTAAACCAGAGATGAAGAAATTGAGGACATCTGGTCATTACAAAAATAGAGGAGAAAGAAAGACCAAATGGATGTCAGAAGAGACTCTAAAATTGCAATAGCCTATCAAGAAGCCAAAACAAAGGGAAGAGATGCAGAGGAGAAAAAGATGAACAGGATTTCAAAGGGCAGCTTGAGAAGACAGAATAAATTGTTAAAATAATGTACAAAGAAATGGAGTCAGAAAACAAAACCAGAAATATTCCCTCAGCATTTCTTAAGTTGAGGAAACTGAAAGATTTAAGCCTCTAGGTGCAATACTGAGAGATGCTATTGGAAAATATTGAATGATCCTGGAAGCATCAAAAGGAGGGAATACACAGTTACTGTACCAAAAAGATTTAGTCAACACAGATATTTCAGAAAGTAGCATATATGATCAGGAGCCAATGGTAGTGAAGAAAGAAGTTAAGCTGTATTGAAGGCATTGGCAAAAAGTCAGATGGGATACCAATGTTTCAAATAACAAATGTATCCCTCGACTTGCTCATCATAATGTACTGGAAACTTTGGAGTGCAGCTTCCTAGCCAACTGACTTGGAAGAGATCCAGATTTGTTTGTTGTTATGTGCCATCAAGTTGCCTACAATTCATAGACCCTATGTACAGTAAACAGCTTTGAAGCCTGCCCTGTCCTAAGCCAGTCTCACGGACTCTGACAGACCTACCTCCATTGCCCCAGTTACTGAATCAACCATCTTATCTGGGGTCTTCCTCTCCTGTGCTGTCCCACCATCCTTCCGAGCATGATGTCCTTTTTCAAAGACTCTTGGCCATGTGCCCAGAGTATATGAGATGGGACATCAAAATCCTAGCCTCCAGGGAGAAACTTGGTTTCACTCTCCCCAAGACAGACTTTTTTGTTTTCTTGGTGGTACATGGTATGTTCAAGACACTTCTCCATTACCACAACACAATGTCATTGCTGATTCTTCTGTCATCCTTAGTTATTGTCCAACTCTTGGATGCATAGCAAGTAATTGCAAAGACCATGGCCTGGGTCAGATGCACTGTAGTCTCTAGACTGACATCATTGCTTTTCAGTACTCTGGAGAGTTCCCTGACAGCACATTTTCCCAGTGCCATTCGTCTTTTGATTTCCTGACTGCTGGTGCCAAGAGTGTTGATTGTGGAGGCGAGCAAACTATAATCATTAACAACCTCAATATATTTTTTTCCATCTCCAAGGAAAGTGATCCAGCAGAATGTGAAAATTACTGTAAAAATATCATTAATGTCACATGCAAGCAAAATATTGAAGGCCATCCCAAACCAGCTAGAACTGAACATTGATGGAACTTCCAGAAGTTCAAGCTGGGTTTAGAAGAGGCCATGTTACCAGGAATATTACTGCTGATGTCATAAGGATCCTGGCTGAAAGAGAATGCCAGAAGGTCTATTTGTGTTTTAATGACTATGAAAATGCATTCAACTCTATGGATCATAAAAAATTATGGCTGACATCGAGAAGAATGGGAATACCAAAACATTTACTCATACTCAACAAAACCTATACTTAGACCAAGAATGAGGCTGTTGTCCAAATAGAGCTAGGGAGCACTGCATAGTTTAAAATTTAAAAAGTGTGTCACAACTGTATCTTTTATATCTATTCAGTCTGTATGCTGAGCAAATCATTTGAGAAATTGGGCTTTATGCAGAAAAATGTGGATAGGAGGAAGACTCATCAACAGCCTGCATTACACAGATTATACAACCTTACTTGCTGCAAGTAGGAAGTACTTGCTGAACAGGATCAAAGACTAAAGCTTTCAGTATGGATTATCTCTCAACATCAAGAAGACAGAAATCCTCACCACTGCTCAACATCATGATAGATAGAAATAAGATTGTCAGTGATTTTGCTTGGATCCACGGTCAGCACCCATGGCACCAGGAGTCAAGAAAGCAAAATATGTACTACATTGCGACAGTCTGCTAATCAAGACCTTTGCAAAATACTGAGAAGCAATGTCATTTTCAAGACTCTAAAGTATGCCTAAGTAAAGCCATGTTCTCGTTTGTCACTTTTCAGTCACTTACTATACATCTGAGAGCTGAACAGTGAATAAGTCAATAAGAAGAATCATTGACTTTGAGTTGTGATAGTACTGAATGTCCCATGGATTGCCAAAAGAACAAACAGAAATATCTTGCAGAAAGAAGATGTAGCCAGAATGCTCTTTAGAGGCAAGGATGGTGAATCTTCATCTCATATACTTTGGGAATATTGTTAAGAAGGGTTATTCCTTAGAAAGAAAGGGGTACATCATGCTTGGAAAGGTCAGTGAAAGAGAGGAAGACCCTTAACGAGATGGATTAACACAATGACTACAGCAGTGAACCTCAAGTATATCAGAGATGAAGAAGATAGCACAGAATAGGACAGAGTTCAGGTCTTGTTTGATTTCTATGGATCATACTTGATGGCATGTAACAACAGCCAACTTCTGCAGAATGAAATTGATCAAACGTGCAGTCAAGATGCATTAACAGTGACTGGAATACAAAACTAGAAACAAAGGAAGAACTGGTAATTGGAAAATACAGACTTAATGACAGAAGTGAGCCTGGAGAGCAAATGATAGAAGATTGCATAATCAATGATTTACTCATTGCAGATACCTTTCTAAAAAACATAAAGTGTAACTATACATGACCTTCATTTGATGGACTATATAAGAATCAGGTTGACTACATTTTTGGAAAGAGCTGAGACAGCAGCTCATTAGCAGCAGTCAAAATAAGACTAGAGACTGAGTTATCGAACATCTCATTTGCAAGTTCAAATTATAGCAGAGCCAAGTTAAAACAAGTTAGTGAAAACTATGTGACTTCGAGTCTGTCCCAACTGAGTTTAAAAAGCCATCTTAAGAAAATAATTTATTGAGCACTGATGAACTAATGACCAAAGAGAGAAAGCAAAAGGTCAATAAAATGCAAGAAAGAAAGGCAAGACCAAAATGAATGTCAGAAGAGAATCTGAAAAACGAAAAGGTAGAAATGGTGAAGTGCATTTACTGAAGAAGATAAAGACTTCAACCTTTAATAGGCAGCATCATGATAATACTGACTTTGTCAATGATTTGGTTTTATATGATCCACAATTAATGCCCATGGTAGCAGCCACCATGAAATAAAAAAAATTTGTTACCTTGGGAAACTTTCCAGAGTACGAAAAGCAAGGATGTCTGGTTAAAGACAAAGGTGTACCTGTCCAGGATGTGGTATTTTCAGTTGCTTCCTATGCGTTTGAACATTGAATAATGAATAAGGACAGAAATAGATCAATACCTTTCTTTGAATTGTGGTATTAGTGATGAGTACTGAATAATATCCCATAGATTGCCAAAAGAACAAACAAATCTATCATGGAGAAAGTGTAAACAGGTTAATCCTTAAGGCAAGAATGGAGAAACATGTCAGAAAAGCTAGTTCTTGGAAAAATTCATCATGTTGGGAAAGTCGGAGAGTTAGAGAAAGACCATCAAAAAAATGGATTGATATAGTGATTGTAACTATAGACTTGAGCATAGAGAATAGCACAGGATAGGATAGAGCAAGGTTCAGATCTGTGTTAATAGAGTAATTGTGATTCATAGTAGACATTCTGATACATCATAGTAGACAAAATGTTTAATAAGTTCTGCAGTTTGGAATTTCTTGAAATTATGAAAAAGAAATTCTGTATTTTATAATTCAGTTGGTTCTTTGAATAGCACATATATTTGAGAAAGTAGGTATGGTGTAGAATGCCATTGACCAGTAAGTCAATCCTGTTGATTTTCAGGCTTGATTTTACTTCATTCCAGTAGAGTAGAATAAATATTCTAGCCAGATGCCACAGTTTGCACGTTAAGATGAGCTTAGTCAAGCTATTGATATTCTGGTGGCCTGCCTTGTGGTGAGAAGCTACACACTGCCACCCCAGCTACTCTGTTGGAGAAGTATAGGCGATCTCGTGCTGTGTGATTTACCTCCACTGAAAACTCGCTGGAAGGTCAGCTGTAAGTTGATTCTGAATTGATGGCACACAGCAAAAACAACTAACAAATGATAGGTTCATTTACAAATTAATAAGCATAGAACATTTTTATTCTTTTCATCTTTAAATAAGTGGAACTTAATCTTGGAGATTGTTTATTCTGTTATGATATCTAGCTTTTGTAAGGCAAACAATCTTTTACTCATCACAAGTATGAAATGGACACAAGACACAAGACTTTTATATTTTAAGTCACTGTACAGAGTATTTTTCTTTTCATGCAAAATAAAATTTTACTTTTAAGCTGATACATGAAAAACAAATGAGTTCTGAAATGTTTAATATTGTTAATTCTATATAATTTTGATACCATAAACTCATAACTTTTTTTCACTCTTTAGGCACAAAAGTCTCAAACCAAGAAATCCTGGACAACAAGGACAGGTACCATCTTTAGGTCAGCAACAGCAAGTACTTCCTAAGCACAAGACCAATGAGAAACAAGAAAAGAGTGAAAAACCGCAGAAACGCCCCTTGACTCCTTTTCACCACCGCGTATCAGTTAATGATGATGCTGGTGTGGACACAGATTCAGCTGGTCAAAGACTTGTGATCTCTGCTCCTGACAGTCAAGTGAGATTTTCAAATATCCGAACTAATGATATAGCAAAGACTCCACAGATGCATGGCACTGAAATAACAAATTCACCTCAGCCACCCCCACTTAGTCCTCATCCTTGTGATGTGGTTGATGAAGGAGTGACTAAAACACCATCAACTCCTCAGAGTCAGCATTTTTATCAAATGCCAACACCAGATCCCTTGGTTCCTTCTAAACCAATGGAAGATAGGATAGACAGTTTATCTCAGTCTTTCCCAGCCCAATTCCAGGATGCTGTGGAACCTACAGTATATGTTGGTACCGCAGTAAACTTGGAAGAAGATGAAGCTAATATAGCCTGGAAGTATTACAAGGTCCCAAAGAAAAAAGATGTAGAGTTTTTACCACCTCAGCTTCCAAGTGATAAATTCAAGGATGACCCAGTTGGACCTTTTGGACAGGAAAATGTAACATCAGTTACAGAGTATGTATCTTTTTTTTTTTTAATACCATTATAATTTAAGAGTAGAAATAATATAATTTCTTAACACTATGACTTTGGAATTTGTTTACAGGTAGAATTTACAATAATAAATCCTTGGAGTATTAATTCTGCATAAATTATTCACTGTCTTTATTCTCAGGAATTGTATGTGTATTGAAATATTTTTTTATTCCAAAGTAGAGACAATAATACATACACAGTGTATGCCTGTTATTTAACCTAGGGGGAAAAATACTCAGATAGGACTTTTCTGTGCTGTTATTCTTCGTTTTCCTTTCATTGTCTTCACTTTAGTATTTACCATTCCTGTAGATCTTTTTTATAAGTAGCTCAGTTAATTCTTATTGAATGATTTATGGTAGGTCTTTGTTAAGAAGATACTATAATTTACCATTGTCTTACAGAGGGACATGTGAGTTTTCAGTTTTTCACATTTACAAGTGATAGAACAATGAATTTTGTTATATAGATGTCCTTGTGAACGTAAATATCAATTATCCCCCCCCCCCCCCGAATGTATCTATAAGTATAGTTGTTTGATCATGGTTATGTTTGTTTCATTATTAGAGAATGTTACCAAGTTACTTTTAAAAGGATATCATTTTCACTATCACCAACCGGTAGGGTATAAAAATATCTGTTGCTCTGCATTTTTTTAATACTTTGTGCTATGAGACTTAAATTAGGCTAATCTATTGCATGGAAAACAGTATTTTTTTGCTTTAATATGTTTTCCAGATTCCTAGGGAGGGTAAACATCTTTGAAAATGTTTATCCCACATTTATATTTCTTCTATGAATTATCTGTTCAATATATTTTGAAGTCTGTTTTTAAGTTCCTGCACTCCCACCCCAATTTATTCTTTGTTTAGCCTAGATATTAATCTTGTCTTATTGTGTACCATCAAGTTGGGACTGACCCATAACTGACCCTGTAGCGGGTTTTCAGAGGCAGTAAATCACATAAGAGAGGACTGCTCATCATTCTCCTGTGGTGAATTCTTGTCTTAGTTATATGTATTAAAAGTATCTTCCATTGTGTGGTTTACTTTCACTATCTGTTTTAATTATGAAATACATAGGGTAGAAATAGGCCTTTTCTATCTTTTTACCATTAGTTTTTTTTTTAAAGGAAAACTAAAAAACAAAAAAAAGTGTAATGGTCTTTATTATAAGTGTCTTCAGTGCATGACCAAGTAGTATATAAAGATTCTATTTCCTTGACTTTTTATTGTCAATGAATTAGTTCATTCTATGAGAAGTATTTTTCTCAAAGCATTCTCTTCTTAGGTGTAACAATTGCTTTGTAGACTTGTTTTCTACCTCTTTTTCTAGAATTCCTAAGTTAACACTATCATTTCTTAGAATTATTGTTTTGGCGAGCTCTGCTGGCCTAGTGGCAAGAAGCTATACTGCAATCCCAGAGGTGCGCGGTTCAATCCACCAGATGCTTTGCTGGAGAAGGAGGAACAATCTCCTCCTGTACCAGTCAAATCTGATTTAATGGTACACACACACACAAATGATAAAATAAAATTAAAAAACAACAACAAACTATTGTTTTCTATTTTCCACCTCTCCATCCCTTTTTGTTGTTGGTGTTTGGAGTTAATCTAATTAACCCAGAAAATGGGCATAAAAGATAAATTTGACATCCTTGCATATCTGACAAGAACTTGATTTTCTTTGCCTTCGTACTTGTATTAATGATTTGGCTGCATATTGTCTTAATAGTTAAAAATTATTTCCCTTTAGGAGTGCTTTACTGTCTTCTAAAATCCAGTACTTCTCCTGAAATATGTAACAAAATCATTTTCCAGCCTTTTTCATTTGTTTTAATGTTGTCTGTTAACCCCATGACGTTTTTATATGTTTTTTGTCTTTATTTTTAGAATTACAAAATACTTGTAATTACAGTGATTTTTTTTTTCTTTTCTTTTGGTGGACACTTAAAAGTCTTATTCTATGTGTAGTTGTTTCTGAGAAGAAATCTCAATTTCTAACTTTTTGATAATTTTTTATTTAATGTGTAAACTGTTTTTCCTTAAGAACATCTCCTTCTTTATTATTTTGTGAGATTTCTCAAGAATTGCTTACTTTTTTTTTGTGTTGTTGAATTTTCCTCATACTCATAGTAATTATTGGTACAATTTATTGAGCAGTATCATTGGTATCACATGCAAGCAGGATTCTGCTGAAAATGATCCAAAAATGACTGGGGCAAAACATCAACAGATAACTGCCAGATGTGCAGGCTGGCTTTAGAAGAGGCCATGGTACTAGGGATATTATAGCTAATGTTAGATGGATCTTGGCAGAATGCAGAGAGTACCAGAGGAATGTCTATCTGTGTTTCATTGACTATGCAAAGACTGTGTGGATAATAACAGACAGTGACTGACTCTGAGAAGAATGGGAATCCCAGAATATTTGACTGTGCTTATGTGAAACCTATACATGAGAGCCAAGAGGCAGTCATCAGAACAGAGGAAGGAGATACTGCATGGTTCAGAATAGGGAAAGGTGTCCACCAGGGATATATTCTGTGTCCATACATTTTCAATCTGTATGCAGAACAAATCATCTGGGACACTGGGCTGTACAAGGAGGAATGTGGCATCAGGATTGGAGGAAGATTCATCAACAACCTGCATTACGCAGATGACACAACCCTGCCTGCTGAAACTGAGGAGGACCTGAGGTGCTTGCTGCACAATGTCAAGGACTGCAGTTTTCAATATGAATTGAAGCTTAACATCAAGAAAACAAAGATTCTCACCACTGGGCCTGTTGGCAGCATCATGATAGAAGGTGAAGAGATTGAAATTTAAAAAGTTTTAATTTGCTTGGCTCCTCATTCAACACTCTTGGTACCAACAGCCAGGAAATCAAGAGATGAAGTGGGAAAGGCAGCTGTCAGGGACCTCTCCAGAGTACTAAAGAAAAATGACGTCAGGCTGGAGACTAAGGTGCGCCTCATTCAGGCCATAGTCTTCACAATTGCGTGCTATGCGTCAGAGAACTGGATAATGACTAGGGAGAATAGAAAGAGAATTGATGGTTTTGAGCTGTGGTGCTGGAGAATTGTTGACTATACCATGGACTGCTAGGAGAACAAACAGATTTGTCCTGGAGAGGGTGAAACTGAGCTGCTCCTTGGAGGCAAGGATTCTGAAGCTTCGTCTGACATACTTTGGGCATGTTGCAAGGAGGAACCAGTCTTTGGAGAGGGACATCATATTTGGGAGGGTGTTGGGACAGCTCAAGAGAGGAATATCCTCGATGTGATGGATTGATTGAGTGATTTGGGGTAATTGGCGAAGTTGGCACAGGATAGAGCAGGATTTAGGGCTTTTGTAACAGGGACACTATGAGTCTCAAGCAACTTGACAGCACGTAACAAGTTCAACAATGGTAGTTGTACACTGCAATTTTAGACTCAGGGTAATTGATAGGCTGATAGTAAATTTTTGTATATGTAGACAGAGCTTGTTGATTGACAGAGCTCATTCATTTAGCAATTACAGATCATTTCCATTCACTTCACTCATAACTGTGTAGATAGTTTGTCATGGGGGAATATCTCAAATTCTGACACTGAGGGTAAAAAAAAAAAACAAACCAGATCCCTGTTTTTGCTAATTATTTTATTTTTAGAAATAGAGTCTTCTGGTGCCTCTACTTTGAGTCTTGTTTCACATTTTTGTTCACAACTTTTGGCCAGATTGTCTATAGTTTTCTAGACAATTTGGCTTTTCTACTGTTTGTTTTTATTTTTAATGTAACAATAATTGTCTTTTACATCTGAGGAAATTTCTCTAAATTTTTTTTATTATTCTTCTTCATTCAGGTGCAGTTTTTCCCTTGCATCCACCAAACTCTGAAATTCTTTTTGTTTTTCTTCTCTCCCCATCCTCAGCTCTCCTGCCTACTCTCCTTCCCTTTGTATGTCCATTTAGATCTCCCTAGTTATCATTCTGTTTTTACAATAATGGTCATATACAGTATTTGTTTTTATGTGCCTGGGTTAGTTCACTCAGCATAATGCTCTCCAGCCTCTTCCATGTTATGTAGTATTATTTAAAATTGTTGCTCCTCAGTACTGCATAATATTCTGTCATGTGAATGTACCACAGTTTCTCATTTCAGTCTTTTGGTGATGATCTCCAGTTTTTTGTAGTTTGGCCATAATCCTTTCTTGTATAGTATAGGCTCTAAATTTTATGTTATGTTTCATTTTATTTCGAGCTTCTCTGAGACTTCTTGAAATGCATTACTTCTTTTTGCTCTTAGAAATGTATTCTGGTTTAAAATTTTTATTTGTGTATCCTTGACAATGACTAGGGAGGATAGAAGGAGAATTGATGCCTTTGAGCTGTGGTGCTGGAGAAGAGTATTGAGTGTACTATGGACTGCTAAGAAAACAGATTCAACCTGGAGAGGGTTAAACCAGGCTGCTCCTTGGAGGCAAGGATTCTGGGTCTTCGTCTGACATACTTTGGATATGTTGTAAGGAGGGACCGGTTCTTGGAAAGGGACATCATGCTTGGGAGGGTAGAGGGACAGCGCAGGACAGGAAGACTCTCTATGAGGTGGATTGATTCAGTGACTGGGGTAATCGGGATGGGTGTGTTGGAGGCAATGCGATTGGCACAGGACACAACAGAGTTTAGGGCTGTTGTACATAGGGTCACTATGAATTGCAAGCACCTCGACAGCACGTAACAACAACAACAACAACATCCTTGACTTAATACCTTAAATCTAAAAGTATACCAGTATGTCTTTGGTTTTTTATAGATTTTGTTTTGTGAAGATAACATATAGGATTATGGAATATGATTCTTCAGTAATCATTGAGTCTCTTAAAAGCAGTATCTTGGAAACAAGGCGTAAAAAATAGCTTAATCGTGTTCATAGTAAATATAATATAAAATTGAGGTAAGTCTTAGCTCAGTTTGAAATTACTGTTGATCTTC